TGACTACAAGCTTCATCTTTGTTCAGTACCAGTAAAAAGTTGAAGTTTGTGATCAGTAAAGCTGAAAGTCAAAGATCATTTGTTACGAGCAGAACAGACACTTATGAACCATCTGTGAGTACTTCGGTGGCTGATTGCATTCCGAAGAAATCCTGCATTTCCGCAGGGTATGACTGAGATTATGGTGATCTCAAGCAAGGCGAAAAAGAAAAATCCAATCAAGTAAAGTCTTATCATAATTATTATCAGCGGACAATGAAGAATTATGATTGTAAATTCTCCCTCCTTGTTTTTGATGGATAATCCTATCGGAAGCATTATCTGGGTTACATTCGAGAATTATGGCAGATAACCGTATTTCATGATTGATTGCAATCACCACTGAAACGTATTACCGTGACATACATATCCATTGCTTTATCGCATTTTGGTTTAGAGATCTGCCTTGTTTTGAATATTTTTCACAATTATTATTATTATCACCGTTGTTTTTATCAACGTTAATTTATACGTCAACTTTGATATTAAAAAAAAATTTGTATGTATCAAAATTGTCATTATTGTTAGAATTGTTTGAATAATTTTTTCAACTGTAAATTTATTGATATGTAGTAAACTAGCAGCTAGTAACTTTTCCAGTTTCATTACCCAATGCTACATCTCCTAGTGATTAGCCTGGTAGCGATCATAACGTTCGTTTCGATACAGCTCAACTATTTTCCCAACAAAAATACTTTTTTTCGGTTTTAGCCGTTTTGAAATACCTTTGATGTTGTGTTGAACATCAGCATCCCTAGTCCACGATGAATTACTTCGTGGTGCTAAAATGTTGATTATTACAACGCGTACACCTTGCGTACTTTCACTTCGTGCTAAAATAAGACGTGTACAACTTAATGGATCAAAACATCCTTATTCTAATTCTTGCCATCATATATATTTATATTTTCCTTTGAAGTGTGTGTCCACACATTCATATCTGTTTGCATAAATTTTTTTAATTTCTTTCTGTTTGCATTATTATTTCTGCAGAAGTGTTTTTTTTTAACTCTTTCAATTATATTTATTTATATCTGAGGTTTTTCCATATTTCGCACTAAAAAGCCGGGAAAAATTATTCAAAACTGGCATTGATTTAATTCTTTTGATAATATTTCCGAGTCCTAAGTCTGTTCGGAACGTCTACTTTTCAGTTTGACGCTCTAAAGAGCTACAAAGCCTGGGAGCGAGCTGAAACATTGCAGTAGTATTAGAATTCTGTTCAGATAGTTTTGCAGCTTAGAATAATGCCTGATTATCTTGACGTGGTATTTTTCTTGTTCAGTCTCAGAGGAATTCTACATTTTGGGCTTTCTCGGGAAGAAAAGACTGTGAATCTTGATGAACTTCATGAAGTACTATGTATAAATGCTGTTATTTTGGGGGAGGGGCCGTAACTCACTGTGCTTTTCTTATTCACTGGGGCTAGCAGTCTGAGCATGTGTCGGCAATCGACACTTCAGAGAGCAATTATTGTTGCATTTTATGTAATGGCAATTGAGCGTAAGCATTGCAGATTCCACAGGCCCTAGCGCCGCTGTGAGCTTAGAGCTTCAATCAGTAGCCCTTTGATAATCGCTTTTTCATCCATACTTCTTTCTTCAGTATAGTAGATTTTTTTCAACCAATGATCACTGGCGTTACTGTTAAAATAGGTAGGTAAGCGGAGCTCCCCTTTAATGCTTATACTGATACTTCGATTAGCTGTTGTTTCAAAGTCGCGTTTCTCCTCTCCAGTGATATAGCCAGCAACTTCTCCATTCCCCCTATTTTGAACCTCTTTCATCCACATGATTCCACAAACCAACCATTTGCTGGCAAATTGTCGATGATTTTTTCTTTCTGGGTTTTTTTAGAAACAAGCTAATGGCAAGTTTGACTTCCTAGTATTATCACTACAGAAAGAAAGAGGCTGTAAAAATATATTTTCTGTTGTATCACCAATAAGAAATGTTTGCTTAGTTCTACTTAATTTGTCTTGATTTGTTTGGAGCAATTTCTAAATATTTGCCTCCTTTTTAGGACTCAGTTCAAGCGAATTGTGCCGCCCAAAGTTAAGCTGATACCGATGTCACCAGTAGAATCACCAGCAGCATCTCATTCCGAAAACTGCGCTACTGAACGTTCGGAACAGGTGCAATGTCCGTCCAGGAAGGGTGTAAGGAAGAAATCAAATTCGTCGTTGAAGCAGAACAGATCTGGCAAGAAGCACTTGTGCACGTCATCAAATCAGGCGAAGAGCTCATCATCAAAAGGGACAAGAAGTGAGCGAGCTAAATCTACCGCGAAAGGTGCGCCTTCTTCGAAATCTTCTGCCAGTATTTCAGGAAAGAGTTCTAGTGGGGATAGGCCAACTGAAACTTGTGGAAAAATTTATGAAAAATCGCTTGCTTGTGATCGAAAGATCACTGGCCGAGAACCGGCTGTATCCGGCAATCGTCGATCACCGACACAGGTGTGCCAAACAGATGAACGAGGTGGCCTGCTGAAAAAACGCTTATTGTTCCGTTGCCGAACAACTGGTGATAAGAATGATGATAACGATGATGCAAATGAGGACGGGCGAAAAGCAGGCGGAGAAAATGATGATGAAGCAGCAGCCGCAACAACAGTGCCCCTAGTCGGAAGAGATGAAGCAGCAGCAACGGCCGTGAATTGTCCAGATTTTTCGTCGCAGAACCATCATCATCCAAGCCTCGGGAAGACAGCTCGGGAAGAAGCTACTGTTCCAGATACTATCGATGCTTGTGGCAGAGAGCAATCTGAAAAATCTATCTTGACGGATCCGGTCGCCCCGATGGGCTCGCAGAATTCCACAGCCAACAGCAAGCATACCACTGATAAGTTGCCGGTCGAAAATGAACAGCTTGCCAACACCGAAAGTGCTGCAAAAGATACTGCGGACCAGATGGCGACCCATGGCGATGCGAAGGTAGCCCTCGACTTGGTGAGTGGACTTGCAGCTGGTCAGCAAAAGGCGGGGAAATCAGCTGGAGGACAAGTGAAAGGTCAGAAAAGCTCGAGTTCTTCGGAAGAAGAGGAGGACGAGGAGGAAGCTTCCACAGAAAGTCGACATCTTCCAGTGCAGTTGGTACGCCGATCCTCCGAGGAAGGCTTCCATCAGGTTGTCAAATTTACGAAGCATGCAGCGCAACGACTAAAAGCAACCGCCGCAAAGCCAAAGCAAATTATTTCGCCGAAGAATGAAAAGAAATCCGAACAAGCGACAAAGGAGCAGAATTTGCCAGTGACTGAAGAGGAGGCAAAAAATCAGGGCCGCAAAAAGTGCGATGGCTTAGATGAGAAATCGAACTGCATTAAAATCATGCCTGAGCTCCACTCTTTGACTGAAAATTCTTTCGACAAAACTCCTACTCCTGTTGATACTGCTCCATTTGATACTCGTGGTATTACGGGTAATCAAACATTTTTGGATCGTTTTCCCGTTGGCCAAAATGAAGCCGACACAAGTTTGAAAGAGCCATGTAACAAGCAAAAGCGGCAGCAGCCAAATCCTGAAGAAGTCACCTGTTCAGACTCCAAAACGTTAGTTTGAATGTTTGATTTAATTGTCGTAAAAACACTCTAAATTATGCGTTAAACCTAGGGGTTATTCGCTTCAAATCTGATCAGAGTTTCAGAGCATTTTTATTATAATACTTTGAAACTTCGATCAGCTGCAGTGGGATTCAAGCTATGCATCTGGCTACTTTTTGATTACTTTGATCAGTACTGCATCGTTTATTGGTTAACGTGCTGATGGTCTTGACTCCATTTCGTCTTCCGAAGGAACATTGGCTAAGCGGATTCTTCCAACAGAAGCATTTGACGAAGCTTTAATTGTTTTAATAATGAGCATTACCACGTCATTTTGAGAATAACGACGAGGTACTTTAACTACTTCCAGGTGTGTCAGTGTGTGAAGTATGACCCCCTTTTTTAACAAAATTTTAATATCTCTTAAAGGATTCTGAGAGTGTTTTTTTGCAAATTATGCAGCGCTTTTAATGGAAAAATGTTAAAGGAATTGTGATAACTTTGGACAAAATTTTGACTTACAGCTCAACAAAATGTTTTGCTGCGTTTGGAACGTCGGCAGATTCAGGTTTTAGATAACACATTATCGCTTCGCTGCTCCCTTTTGTTCTGGTTTTCAGCATGGTCTGAATTCAAGCTGTCCAATGAAAGTTGCTCATCTACCCTTATCTGTACTTTATAATCAGCATAATTTATAATCGGCGTGAGAAAATCAATCTCCCAACGATTCTTTTATTCGTTTTGGTGAAAAACTGGTTGTAAAATATCCTTGAATATAATATTTCTATAGAAGTAACTTTGCGCGTCGCACAATCTCACTTTCTCCTAGTCGTTTAAATACATTTTAAAATCTTTTTGTTCCTCGTGAATCAATTGTCGTTTCCTGCGGTACTTTTGAGCCGAACCTGTGCTTTCAAGCTCTTATCGATCAGGGTCGAAAAATAGGATTCATTTAGATATTTTATTTTACTCTGCTCTTGACATTTTCTCGAGCGCTCGATTGTGGAGAGTTCGGATTACTCATGAACATTCCGGAAATTCCAACAAGGGGAGAAGCATCGGCTAGCGCTGTCTAGCTGTTTGTGTATTGCAGTAGAAAGTTTTGCCTTAATCAAAGACTGCTTCCCTCTCTTTTCGGATTTCATCCTTCCCAAATGCTCCGTTTCAGTTCGAGAAGTTAGGGATATCTCAACCGCTACATCCTCATTTTTCTCGAGGTTGTCTTGCTCGAAAATTTCTCCCAGTTTTTACGCCTCCGAAGCAGTTGTGTAGCTTGCAAAGTAACAAGCAATACATAACACAAACGTGCACACACATATTTTGCATTATATCGTAAAAAGTGTGTAATAATTATTCACA